CGGGTGTGGGTGTGGGTGTGGGTGTGGGTGTGGGTGTGGGTGTGTATGTGGGGTGTGGGTGTGGGTGTGGGTGTGTATGTGGGGTGTGGACGTGGATGTGGTGTGGGTGTGTGAGTGTGGATGTAGCGCGTCGGGTGTGGGTGTGCGTGCCATGAGCTTCACATGGGTCTTTTCTATATCCACACCCACACCCACACGCACACCCACATCCACCCACACCCACACCCACACACCCCACACGCGCACCCACACATCCAACATCCACACCCAAACACCCCACATCCACACCCACACACCCAACATCCACACCCACACGCACACCCATACCCTTCCTTGTTTTGTCGATTTATATCGTTCAGTAAAACAAAAATAAAAGATATAGATACTTATACGTGTAGAATTTTGTTAATATTTTCATGACATGTCATAAGAAGCAACAAACTGTCAAAAGTTTATTTATCAGTTATTGAATCGGCTTGATCATTGGCTGTTGAAGTTTCTTCGTCTTCGACTTGATCATCCAAGTCAAATATTTCTTCCCTAAAAATGTATCACTAAACACCTTCTTGTAACTGCTTGAAGGCAAAACGTAAATGACAAATCCAAGTGCATGTGGGATATAGGAAAGTAAGTAAGTGACAAGAAGGGTATGTCTTTGCCATGCACTCAATTGCGCACAAGCCAGACTGAACGAGACAATGGTTTGCGGTAAAGTAGATAAGACGATAATACCAGGTATTGTGTAGAGTTCTTTGTGCATATTGAACTGTTGTTTCAATACTTTTCCAAATGTTATCTTCTTGCCTACCGTTCTTGCTCGACTTCGAGCAACTTGTACGATTAGGACGGTAATGGCGATTACTTGGACAAAGAAAGGAGCGAGATTATGCAAAAATGTGCTTACTTGATCGTATTTGGCCACCATACTTTGTTTAAAATTAATTACACAAAGCAAGTTAGAAGATTCCGACTGACGTATGATGGTGTAAAAGAGAATCTCGTGCGCGTGCATACCTAACAGAGCAAGAATGGTAGCAATACTTGTGTAGATAGCGATACGAGGATTTTGGGAAGCAGTACTCGTGGGAAACAGGATCATCAGGAGACGGTCAACAGTAACCCAACTTGTTAGCCAGTAAGTCGAACGAGTGACGGTAGATAGAAGATAACTTATGACTCTGCATGATGTGTTCGTTGCCTGCCCTAGTGTACTCAAAAAGACATGAGCAAATTTGAATAAAAGACAGAGAAAAGCAAATTGATTGAGAATAGTGACAATAAAGAGATAGTTTCCAACTCTGAATTTGCGTGGCTCTGGTCGTTTAAAAGTAAGAAACGAGCAAAAGTTGTTAAAAAGACCAACGACGAAAAGAAGAAAGGTCAAAGCTATGTAGAAGACTTGAACAGCTGTAGACTCCGATACAAGGAGAGAGTCGAGAGTGAATCCGAAAGCTTGCATGCTGAATTCGCACATAGATCCTTGATAACAGTATGGACATATGCAGACGAATTCTGTGAGATTTGCCAGATCACCTTTAACACATATTCCACCTGACAAACAAAAGTCACAACGGTCTACAAGGGGGTCATGTATAAGACACATGGCACGAGTGTCATTCTTTTGACAAAGACAGAAGTAAGTGCTATCGTGAAAACATAACCGATCAGTATCATTACGGCAAATATGATGATACTTGAACAAAGCAGGTACTTTTGATTTCTCATCTGAAACCAGGAAAAAAATGGAAATTTCTTTCTAGATGCAAACAACTTGCCTTTGGATAGAAGTGACATTGCATTTGGACAGAACTGAGGCGTAGTAGTGAGGTTGATAAGCATAACGTTTAGTTGGACATAGAGAACATAGTATTGAGGATCTGGAGAACTTTCGTATGTTTTTAATAAACACAACCAAGGAGCCGCCTGCTGACCGTGATCGTGTCGAATCTTCAGTGGCAATCCAACGGTTATCTTTTGATGTTGGATTGCGAGTTTCATGGGTGTAGTATGATAAAAGTTATAGAACTGAACGACACTAACACTTGGTGCCGATGTCATATTCACAGTAATTGCAATGGCGACTTTCTCATGCTGACATCGATCACCATAGAACTGTTTTGAACATTCACAAATGATTGATTTGTCACCACTCGGATCGTATGTTAAGTGGCAAGTTGCATTCGAGCCACATGGATTTGATTTGCATCCTTCATTTTGTAAATGACAGCTAGGCCCAAAATGATCAAGAGGACATATACATAATGGATTGTCCGGATTTTTTATCAACCCACGTTGACCTGGTCGACAGATAGAGTCCGGGGAGCAATATGAAGAGCACTTTTGTTCATACACTGTACAGTTCTCTCCAGTGTAACCAGATTTACACGAACAGTAGAACTGCCACTCTTTGTTTAGAATAGGTTTACAAATGGAATTAGCATTACATGAATTCTGAACACATGGATTGAACGTAGAATTTCCAAACCAAGAAGGAAACTTTAATACAGTGGCGAGACGAAAGGCTGGCAAATAATCAAAGTATATCGGATAACGAAACGATCCTAGCTCGATCGTATTATTGTACTGTAGTGCATAAACATCGAAATGCACCGAATATGGATGATTGTTGAGGACATCGGTACGATTCAAATAACGCCATTGCATGTGTTGTAACATCGCAGCAGCACGAGAGTAGAGAAGATAGAAACGCTGTTTGACATAGGATTTTGTTTCGAACGTCGGATTCACATAAAAAATATGGTGATCGATGTATTTGTCGAGAAAGACTAAACTTGCGACAATCTCGAATAGGCTTGTGGAAAGCATAGGAAGGGTGCTCAGATTGAGATGCGTGATTATAGTAAGACGATCTGAGAAAAATTCGCAATGGTTACCGTAGTAGGCAGGCGGACAGAAACAAGATACGTTGGACGGAGAATAAATGGCAATGCCTCGATTGCAAACAAAGAATTTACTATCAAGTTCAATAGCTTTGTTTTGTTGATATTCACGCGTATTAAGTATCCTAATATGTCGATATTTTGTTTCTGTTACCAATGCTGACTTATTGTGTTGCTGAATTGTGGGAACAAGTGGTGGAAATGTTGGTATCTCCAATATGTAAACAGCATTTCGTTGTTTTGTATATCGATAAACGGCAATATGTTCCAGCCCAAAGTCTGGAGAGCACCAATATTCATCTTCCCCGTGAAAGCATTGTTTGACTTCATTGCATCGAGCATTTTCAACACATGTTCCATCAAGACAAATTACATCGTTCTGACCGGAACATGTTGCATTCTTGCTTTTGTACCAACAGAGTAATGAATTCGAACACAGTTCATCAGTTCTGCAAGCAAGATAATGGTAAACACATGAATTGTTGCATCGCAATGTGTAGCCGAGCATACTGCCTCCACAGCTTTCTAATGTATTTTTTTCGTCTACACCTCCATAACAGTTGACAATGCCGTCGCCGATTTGAGTAAGATTAATGCAAGGTTTATGAGTATAAATATCCAATGGATTGGGTGCAGAGGCTAAATAACACGGATATTCTACTAACAAATTACACAAATCTGAGAAAGGCATTGTCAAGTTCGAGTATCGACGAATGCATTCTTGCCTTCGTTCATTGAATCCTATCAGATTTTCATTACGATAGGACCATTTATAGGTTAAAACGATGGCCTCCTCATCTGAGGCATCACTACAATCCCATTCACCATCACATACCCAATTTAACTCGATACATTGACCCGATCGACATTGATACTTTTCATTATCACAAATCCATTCTTGACAAAAATCACGATTTTCATCCATGTGCGATTGGTCCTCCCAGAAACTGTTGCAATGCACATGGTATGGTGTGACTGGGATACTCTGAATGTTGTTATTACTTATGACAATCTGTAATGTTGAATTTGGATTTGACGAGTTACCGATGTAGTATCTAAGAAAAAGACATCCGCTATTGTCTTTTTGCTCGCAAATAACCTCATGTAGTCGCTGAATACTACCCTTGATAAACACATCATTTTTGTTTTCGCACTTTGTTTTCGTTTCGCTAAGTTCCGAAACAGGAAAGCAAGTCACTTGTTCAGGTGAACATTGAAAGCGGTGCTTTCGTAGATTGAAACAAGTATTCGTCTGCTTATCCATTTGAAATATTTCGTCTTGTCCATCCAAACAATCGTATGTGCCATCAAGAATATGATATTGTGAGATGCATTCATGTGATTTGGTGCAAACATCGTAAAATGCATACGAACGATTGTTGAAAGTTCTTATATCATTCCAACAATTCATTGGGTACTGAATAGCCGACTCTTTCTCTTTTAATAAATTGCGTGAATTCAAATGACAGAAAAAAGCTTCAATCTTACGATAGTACACTAGCTCTTCATTGTATTCCATCAACGATCCGGCGTTTGGTAGGGTTACGATACGGTATCCTCGACACTTGATACTTCCACGTATAATAAAATAGTCTGGTGTCGTATCTGCCCACGTTCGATCCCAACGGTAATAATGATATAACCACGGACGAATCATTCCTTTAGATGGCTACGGACACAAATCATCTTTACGACAGACATACCGCATAAGTTCCGTGCAGTTGATTCCATTGCAAGGACATCTAGACTCCAGACCACCGGATAGTGCACATCGAATCAAGTAAACACATTTATCATCGCTTGTTAGATTTGAATGGTTCATGCTCAATGATGGATCCTCATATCTGGTTCTTCCAAACCAACAGAGCCCATTTGGTTGTGTCCATAGCTTTAAAAACTGACTGAAAAGGCTTTCACACATATGATTGTACTCGCGCATAGTGTTACAGTGCACATCTTCTGGAAAAAATGATTGATATATATGTCGAGATAGAGTACGGATGCATTGTCCATCACCACACGACCACTGATCGTTGGCACATAGGTGCTCATCGCATTCGATAAACATAGGACGAGTCGAACAAGTTATATCATCTCTACCTTGCTCGTCGCTCCAGTCCATACAGTCAGGTACTCCTACAATATTGGACCTCAATGCACTGATGTACTGTCGAATTGATTCGGACAAAACAATCGATATTAACTGTAAGACTTACAACTTTGTATCCGAAGAAAAAACTTATGACATATAATTTTGGATAAAATTCAACAACATAAGCGCCAATGGGTTTGATCTTTTATGACTTATTCGAAGCATCTGAAAGGTTTGCAGCGATATTGAAATTATTGATCTACCTATATTGACTTATATAAGAATGCATAAAATATAGAGTTATTTCCCATTCGCAATGTGCAATCTTGAATATATGATCGAAGTAGAGAATGGATTTCCTCGTATTTTAACACGTTTGCTTCTGACTAAACAAAACGATTCCAAAATAATTTTTTGCAAAAAACATACTAAATTAGTCTGAGCTATTCATGTGTAAGGGTAAGACGTAGATTTTCATCATAGACATGTCATGCATCAGTCTTTCATCTCATCAATATTTTAAAAACTCCTAGTAAATAAAATATCTGATGTTTTCATGCTCAAAACATTAAGTTGCTTCAGAAGAAGCGTGGTCACAATGTCCGTAGTCAATCCGAGTCTTATTTCTATTCGTAGACCGAAATTCTTACCGTCGAGCCAATACTCTTCATTGATACACATGCCATTCGTACAACGGTATTCGCCGTCTTCACATTCGTTGAATTCCAACTTATCACAATTTTCTTCATCATAGCCATCGATGCAATCTTGTTGGCCATCGCAGATGTTACGCCAGTCTAAGCAAAGCATCCCATAGTCACATTGTGACAGTGTGTCATAGCACCAAATAGACCCAAATCGTTGATGACCTTCGCGATATTGTTTATGTTCGAATGTAATCATGATAGCCTTGTCAAATGAAGTACTACTGAAGAACAACGAGTATTCACAGTTTTTTCCGAAAGATCCCTCCAATGTACAGTTGCATAAGAACCTATCTAGTACGTCTATCATCGATTGATCGTAGAAAAAACGAGCGTAATCATCGGCTTTCTCGATACTCGAACTCCACCAAAGCACGTGCCATGGAGTGATGTTATGCTCTAGTAATTCCTTGTAAGTCCATTTCTTTCCTCCGTTTTGACATTCGGACAAATATGAGTGATGGTCAGAACTGTTACCCGACCGTCGACAGAACTCTACTGTTTGATCACTAACATAGTAAATACAATCGAAAGCTTACGTTCTTACACTATTTTCCGTGTTGAACAAGAAAATATGACCAGTATCAGTGACGATAGACAAGACAATGAGTAGGATAGCGCTCAGAATTACCGTCATTTATGTTTGTTCACTGATCCTGATTGGATAGAAATGAATTGGATTGGTATATGCAAGAGTCGCTGTCGATTTTACATGAAGTTATCTTTTATTCTTCTTTTGTTAATATAACGTGCAAAAACGTAGTTCTCCTCCGTTATTCATTGTGTGATCAAGAAGGAAGCAAGGTATTTGGTTACCAAACAACGATAATCACGTCTTCTGTAATGTCCTATTCATTTGAACATGTTCACTTGTTTGCTATCCAGGCCCCACAGCGATCCTTCTTTCCTTCCTTCTTTTTTTAGAGCGTCCTTCTTTACTCCTAAAATGGGTCTTTTTTTTTTTACTTTTCATATGAACAAAGTCTCAGAAACATCGAAAAAACTTATTAACAATGTTTCGTTAGAGTATGACACTAATATGGAGCTCTCAGAGCTCTAAACAATGTCTTATTGACCTCAAACCCAATACAAAATCCATCATACGTACGCTATGGTATTCTCTAAAAAAGAGTCATACTCAACTTTTTAGAGTTTTAGCCAAGATTCAGAACTTTTTAAGGTTTTATTCGTTTATTAATAAACTGGGTACTTCCACGCAGCTCCGCCCACTTTTTACAGAACCTTCTGCCGGCAAGATATAAGCATGCTAGTTTTGTAGCCCTAGTCGAGTTATGTAGAAAATAGTATTCAGTTTCGACTCAAGTTATGCGCTAACAGCAGCAGAGCAGGTCCAAAAGTCGATTCTATGAAAAAATAGCCCCCAAAATCGGCCTGTTTTATTCTTCATGGGTGTTTCTTGGAATTTTTGATTTCACCATTAGATAGAGCATAAAAAGTTGTCTATATAAAATAATTTTCAGAATTATATCTCTAGAATTCATTGTTTGGGAGCATTTGCAAATTTTGAAAAAATGGCACTTTTTGCTTAAATTGAATTGCTTATGAGACCCCAATATACTATAATCAAAATGAAGCTTATACTATTCTTATTCAAACGCACTATACCAAGTTTCTTCAAAACATTCTCAACTCTAGACAAAGAGGTCTACAGAGGATGGGGGTCCCAAAAATCGTCATGTTGGGACTCTGTTTTCTCAAAGACTACATGTCAGAATTTCTTGAAATTTTTTTTCTGAATAGACCTAAGTGGACACTATTAGTGATTAAAATATTAGACTTCGCCTTTCAGAATTGTAGGAGATAGAGCTCTTCCAAGTTAGCCCAAAATTCGGTGTTTTTCAAGAAATCCCTGTGGGGGACCCTAGGTAGTCGGAAAAATTGTATTTTCGAATTTTGACCCGAAACTTTCCGTACACAGAGGCCTCGCCTAGACTAGCTTGCACAGAAAAATTCAGAAGTTTCGAACCAAATCTCATCAAGATATGAAGCTTTATCTTTAGAAAAGGCCTTCTATGGTAGAAGGTGTGGGTGTGGGTGGGTGTGGGTGTGGGG